ACTTCGGCAAAGCTGGTTTCTGGTAGGCAGGACACCTGCCTTCGTGCCTCCCTAAATGAAATGTTTTGTTTTACTTTAATTGTGACATTTTCCTTTTCTTTTTCCCAGCATGGGCATGACCGTGAGTATGCGGCATGCTCCTCATTACAGTTCGCACAGTGAGGAGAGTTTTCACAGGCATCAGATGTGTGATCTTCAGCACTGCATTTTGCGCAAGTTAGGCGGCCTCGGCAGTTCTGCGAACTGTGGCCAAACCGCTGGCATTTGAAACATCTTAGAGGGTTTGGAATATAAGGCCTCACTCGAAGCTTGATGTACCCAGCCTCAACGGAATCGGGCAGTACACTTGAATTAAACGTAAGTATTAGGTGCTTTGTCTGGACTTCTTTGCCATTACGTCTCATCCTGATTCGTTTCACATTGATGACATTCTGTTCGCTGAAACCCTCCAGGAGTTCAGCCTCAGTCAGCCCGTTAACAGGTCATCATCTGAAACAACACCACGGGTGGTGTTCATGGTTCGGTGTGGGGTTACTATGATTTTGGTATCTCCAAATTTCACTAGATTAGGCAGTTTCTCATATTGTTTATGGTCGCGGAGCTCCAACAGGAGGTCACTACTTGCCATTCAGGATGCTTTGTATCCTGGGCCAAAGATTTCTGTCTAAGACTTCGAAACAAGAAAAGGTGAAATTGTTCTCACTGGTTTGCCGGGTGTGTCAGCGTGGATAACGTGGAATCGGGAAAGGATACTCTCTGGTCACTAAAAAACTGGAATACTTCATTGGTGCGCCCTCTTTTCTGAGGGCGATCAGGGAGTGGGGGGAAGGAACAAGCCATAAGAAAAAGTTTCTTTTTGGCAGCGGCGCCAGCCACCCACCATGGAGTCCTACAAGGGGACGCAGCAGGGTCTGTAAGCACAGGACCTGCAGACGCCAGCTGTACACCACCACTATAACCGAATATGGTGTATCCAAGGTAGGATAGCCACACAGGGTTAACCCTTGCCGCCAGGAAACACGGAAGTCAACGGAAAAGAGTAGAGGACAGGAAAGATTTGAAGAAAGAGAAAAGACGAAGATGTGAGGGGGAGACAGGAAAAGGCGACTGCCGATTCCACCCAGGCGGGTCAATCCGGGGGTGCCGTCTACGTGAAGCCAGGGCCAAAGGGGTGTGTTGCCTCTGCCGGGGGGGCCTTAAAGGTCCAAGCACCCAGCGTTGGCTCAACTCCCAGGATCCCCTTTTCCCCGGACACGGCAAAGCCACGCACAACTAGGCGTGGGAGGGAGTCAAAACTCCCTCGTCAGCTCCGTGGTGTCGCTACACACCAAACGCCTACTTGCGCAGGCGCCCCTGCGGGCATATAACACAATAGCGAACTTTGTTGGTGCTGTGCCTGATGATCAATTATGTTCAAGCATATAGGCTATGGATGGGCCTTGAAATCAACCACTTGTGCCATTTGATTGACATTCCACGATTTTGCCACACATCATTTAATGTGTTAATGTGACTCCTCGCACTACACAATGCCTGTATAGAGTTTTTTTTTTAGTTTTAAGCACTGGCGGCGCTCCGTAGCAAAACACCCGACTCCCACACAGAACATCTGGGCATGTTACAGGCTCAAACGCCCCGATTTTCATTCTTTGCAGTCATTTTTCAGTCACGGACAAGTAAAACTTTTTGCTCACAAATGCCGCTGACATCAAAATTTCTGTAACATGGTTTACTTAAAGTTAGTGCATTAATAGCAGAAAACATTCAAGGAAGCTTGGAAGAACCAGGTGTGGCATTCAGGATGACATGCAGTATGCGCCTAATGTTAAACCCTTGTATTTGAAGGGGTGCTGACCCCCCCTGTAAAGTTGTTTGCGCTGCGTGGCGCATGTGTCTCGCACAGAGGCCGTATTTCGGGGTCACAACTATTGAGCGGTAAAGGGCGTTGTGGTCGCGAGCGTATATCCCCGCTATCATCATCATGGTTGTAAAGCGGTAGCCCCTGCGGTGACCCCTGGCGGCAGACAAGCCTTGGTGGCGGCAGAGAGAGTTGAGCGGGTATTTTTCTGGGGGCGTTTGGCGCGAATGGTTGTCTTTCGTGGGGAGGCCTCGGTGCACGGCACCGCAGGCTGTTTGCCGGGCGCCCTTGTGGTGAGTCAAGCGTTGGTGCCGCCGCCTTGGCTGTGTTAATGTGTTTGTCAGGTTTTTGGAGTGTATAATAACATTGTGTAAGGATGTCCTAGCGTGTTGATAATGATTGATGTATAATAATTCGGCTGACAATATCGTCGTTCTAAAGCAGTGAAATAAATGTGTGTATTGTTTGGTTTGGACCGACCGCGTCTGCTGTGTCCGTTCACTCCAAGATCGTGGTGGTGCTCTCTCTCACAAAGAGACCCCACATATTTTAATCCTATTTAGCTTTAGAAAAGGTAGTTATCACTGTAACATGAAATTCTGTAATCCACATAGAGCCATAGATATCTCTAACATTTTGGAGCTGAAACAGAACCATCTGTACTGCAATTATTGATATACGTAATTTAATTACCATCTGGTAAAAATTTGTTTAAACTGTTCCCACTCTCCTATATATAGCACCCAGCTTATGCAGTGACAAAGCTAAACAATTCAGTCTAGCGAATGACAAGATTAACAAAAAATCAAATTAAAAAACTAGGGGACCCTAAAGCTTCGCCTTTAGGAGTTGAACGCGATAGCAACATCCTGTTCCTAGTGCGTACTTCAAAAACTTAGTGCATGAAACTTTTTCGAATTTGCTAAGCAGCACTACACGCGGCCTTAGAGGAATAGGAACAGTAGGGTGTGTACCGGCTTTCAACCACAAAGCCATTATGATAATCACATATTCTGATGCCCGTTGGGAATGAACGCTTGTATGTACCACGCATTATTACTGCAATATTTTACGTTGCACTGTGAGGCAGGTATACAGCACGTGTGTGTTTGTGAAGCATGACAGCTACTCTAACTTCATTTCCAAGCAGAGGAAGTTCTTTTCAATTTTTTAACAAGCAGAGGCATGGCCGTGTGCTAAAACGGCCACTTGCCACGCAAACGACCCAGGTTCGATCCCCACCCTGCTCCAGGAATTTCTGTCATTTATTTATATTATTTGCTTAATTTTCAAAGGTCATGCATAAGATGATGATTTTTCGCTCAAAAAAAAATGACACCAACGCCGACACCGGCATTTCAGTGACACGAGCTCTTCAACGCTATCACGCTAAAAGAATTGGTGAATTGGTTTTGCCTGTGAACTTTGGCATCCATGATAGCGCTCCCAAGAGTATTTCCGGATGGCATTTCACACCAATATATATTTAATAGGCGACCAGTAAAAAAGCAAGGGATTGTGGGATGCACCGTCTGCTACCGGCTTCCGGTTCGAGAAGAGCAGACGACGGGAAACCGCTTCGCCGCAAGCTTCAGATAATTCGGGATTCGCGCGTTCAGTCACCCGTTTATCTTTGTCCTGATAAACCATGGTCGGTTGTTCAGCCGTTGGCTGCTCCAACTCGAGCAGTGTAAATCAAACGCAGGTATCAATTGCCATGAACTGAAGACAAAAACTAGGTGGGCCGTGACTGTGAAGAGAGCTACAGCGACAGGTAGCCTTCGAGTACGCAACTTTGAAGCCAGAGTGTGCGAAAACAATTTTATCACTGGTACGTGTGTATTCCACGCTAAAAAAACCTTATGCATGAATTTGCTGCGAATATTATATTGAAAATAAATTGTCGCGCAGGTGCGCCTAGCAAAGACATTATGAGAACGAGTGGGCGAAATCTACCTGCCATACGAGATTAGCGCTGGCCATTGCACCTATATATATGACCAAAAAAAAAAAAACGCGAAAGCTTGACGATTGATATCATCAAGCTTTCATCAAACCGCACAGTGGTTATCATCAAACCGCACATTGGTTAAACGTGACAAAACCACCATATGATTATGAGAGACACCGTAGTGGAGGGCTCAGGAAATTTCGACTACTTGGGGTTCTTTAGCATGCCCCCAAATCTGAGCACACGGGCCTACAGCATTTCCGCCTCCATCGGAAATGCAGCCGCCGCAGCCGGGATTCAATCCCGTGACCTGCGGGCCAGCAGCCGAGTACCTTAGCCACTAGACCACCATGGCAGGGAACGCGGAAGCTTCACTCAAGAGTAAGTTTACATGAAGCACTGGACGAGTTCATTTGCGTTTGTATTGGTCAAACTGTGCGCCAGGACTGCACCCAAAGGAAGAAGTGCGTTAAACAAGCGCAGGGCTTCGATTTTTAGGCCCCGTCTATGACTGTATCATTTATGTGCCGCAGTGCCGTGCGGCTTGACCAAGATCAGCATTCAAATAAGCATCTGACTTCAACTAAGAAATGCTTTTTATAGCGCACTAAAGGCTAGAAAAAAAATTACCTCAACATGCTCAATAAGTGTTGCGGTTCATGCCAATCGACTGACGATGTCGGCCGAAGCAGCGATCCTGAAATGAACTCTTACCACACTGCTACAGTCATCGCCATCCCCTGAGATCTTTAATATGGTGACTTTTTATCTGCAGTACCGTATCACACAAGGAAAACTGTTTTGTGTATCGACTGATCTGCTAGCCAAACTGACAGCACCCCCGAGCAGCATAAAAGCCTTTCAGATCATTTTAGTGCAACAAAAAAGTTTCCGGACCGTTCATGGCTTTCGTAGCTTGTCATCGTTACAGTCACGGTTGGCAAAAAAAATAAATAAAGCACTGACATTGCACGGCGAGGTGCTTTTTTCAACGGAGCAGTACAAAAATGCGTGCGTGGCGTTGCTGACTCATGTGGTGCGTCGAACCAGAAGCCGCCATATTTCACAGTTCCCTGCGATTGCCCATTTTACCGGTCACCTATTCACAGCTGCTCGGCGAAAGGGTGCAGCAAGCCCAAAGTAAACGCAACAAGCAACAACGCAAGATCTGGAAGCTCTATGAGTACTCACCCTCGACTGAAAAGTCTTTGGCATCAATCTGGTAGAAAATGTCGCAGCCAATCAGGATGGTGTGGGGTGTGAATAATATGCAGCTGCAAGGCTCACTGGTTTTTGCCACCTACAACACATAAGTACAGACACAACAACCACTTAGCATATTGACCAGTTTGCCAGTTGGGCACTCAACTTTGCTTACAGTTCATGATGAACTGTAAGGACGCATACAAACACTTTGGGTGGTGGTTGTGTTTCTGCTGATTGGAGCCCTATCCCCCAAATTCCTGTCTATGAATTCCTGTCTATAAACATTTGCTACTTTCACAAGCTAAAGTAACTTGTACTGTGAACTGTATCCGAGTCGTTAAAGGGGCCCTGCAACACTTTTTTATGAAATGGATTCACTAAAAGAGCTTATTGCCTCACGAATTCACCCCCACAACTACATTTAGAATCTGTTCAGTACAAGCGGACTTGCAAAGATTCGTCGCATGCTGTTATCACATTCTCTTTTCTCTCGCCCTGACGAAGGTGCTTGAAGCTAAGCAGGGAGGAACGGCACAGGGAAAAAAAGACACGACACGCACGCCTCGTGACCTTGAGCCCTTTTTTCTTGTTCATTCTTCAAATACGTGATTTTTTCAGTGCAATTGTGTGCACACGCGTGGACAATTCATGGCTTCCCGAAGTGGGCCCCGTCACAAAAGAGCGCGTTGTTCAAATTAGTTAATGGCTGATACAATTGCTGTGATGAGTGATTTTTAAGCTTCTCCTACCACTTGTCGAAATTAGAAAGCAATCTTTAGCTGACTTTGAGAATTCATTGTGAATTACAGGCCACGTGCTGCCCTATAATACTTGGCTCCCGTGTTCTTGGGAGCCTCTACTACCAATCAGCAGCGTTTTCTGACCATGTTTAAAAGGTATTGCTGAAGGCTCCTTTAATGCGATTTTATGAAAGGATTTCTTCAGGCGAGTGCTTCTGAATTGCACCTTTCGGCAGGTGTAGTTAGCACGCGAGGCATTCCAGACAGTGCACGTAGATGGCTCGGCCCGTTGCCATGCACAGCCTGGTGAAATCCTGCGACGTGGCAAACAGGTGGCACTCCTCCGTCTCCTCCACCAGGCGCCAATCCGGTGGATCTGCCGCAACGTCCCTGCCTGCGAGGGACTCAACCCAAGGCTGCATCGCCGCCCAGTCGGTCAGCATCAACCTGCGCTCCTGACCTGCACACGGTTATAGCCCACACGTCGATTACAAGACGACTAAAGCAGTAGGCACAAAAAGATAATAATCATTTGGCGATGACATAAACATTGAGTAAGGCAAATAATGCCACCAAAAAATTTTCAATAACGCCACCAACGACGCCTCCCCTACAGATGACTGCTTTACTCAGCAGAACCCAGGTAATAAGCAGAGTGTTGTGTTTACCTGACTGAATTTTCAGTCTTATGTGATATACATTACACGCAAGCATAGGTGCGCACAGGGTAGCCCATCCCATTTGGGGGGAGTGGGTCATCGCAGTGCCCCCTCACTCCTACTAAGTCAAGGTATGGGACAAATGTGCCACAGCTTCTTGGATGACTCTTCCCCTTTCTCCAGGTGCACGCCTAAGCACACAAGGCTCATTAGCCTCATTATATGTATGCATTAACACTATCGAGAGCAGGTTACTAGGGTCGTACAACATGGCAATATATTTTTATTTAAATCTGCCGTTCCTTTCTCTCGCTCTACTAACCTGACTGCCACCCTTGCGGGTTTCTGCTATCTACCATATGTCTCATTTTGGCTTCAGTATGGCCTTTGCCTCCAAGTCTTTGTTTATTTCATCCACTGCTCACTACTCCCCTTAACATTTCTGCATGACCGCTTTGAGATGGCCACTTGTGCGAGACCATACCACCACCAATGGAGCCACGGCGGAGCCTTACAGAGCTGATAAACATGTTTAGACTTCGAAGCTGACACCTCGTTGTTCAAGGAGAAGGCAACTTCAGCAATAATGGCACCACTGTCAGATGACATGTACCGAGAATGAATGTGTTTTTTTCTAACCTGCTGCTCATTTTATTACTCTGTTGGATAAGAACATCAGAGACACACCAAGAGATGACTTGCTCTAATTTGTGTCACTTTTATTTCCTTCATAACCAAAAAATCATGTTCATTTTGAGCATAAAGTTTTGCAAAAAACCTGACGTGAAAAGTCGCTTAGTAAGAAATATTTTTACCAGTTACACAGCTCTGCAAAGGTTTATTCTGCAATATAGTGCACTAATTGCTCACACCGTACTTGGCTAAGGCAAAAAGATAACTTGCGGCTGGCCACTGAAGTTATCAAAGTTTGCTTACCACAAATTGCAAGGACCACGCCCAGTTGCGTGCACACGGCAATTTGAAAGACAGCAGGAACCTCCGCAACTTGGCGCCGCACGGTTCTCGCTACCAGGTCAACAACATAAAGGCCTTCCATCGCACCCAGAAGAAGGTACTGCAAGTATGACAATGCATGCTGAAGTACTCCACATTTTGTGCAATGCAGCTAGCAAGCTGTCTACTGATAAAGCAAATGGCGCATGCATAAAATGTGAAGAAAAGGAAAGACGGCAAAAAATAAAGCTTCCAAAATAGGAAACTGAGGGAGTTTATGAATGTTCATAAGCAGACATTCAGGTTGGAACAGTTGAACACAAGAAGGAGTGAAAGGGGGCAGCACAAATGACGACACCATTTTTGCTCCTGTTGCATTTACACTCTCTGGATCCAGCATTTCAAATAAAAAAAAAAAATAGAACACTCAAGAAATGCAAATAAGGCAGAAGTTCAGGGGAAGATAGAAGCTTGAAGAGATGAAAAATTTCTGAACAAGGGGTGTTGCTAGAGCCACTGTGTCGACAAGCAGTCTTATCTTCTTCAAGGCTGCAATGTTATGACAAGCAGCTGTTCCTTCTTTGAGACTGCAATGTTATGACAACTGGTCTCGTTTTCTTCAAGACTTAAATGTTACATAGAGAAGTCTTTTATTCTACAAGGCTGCAATGTTACGACAAGCAATCTAGTATTTTTCAGGGCTGTTCTGACAAGCAGTCTTGTCTTCAAGGCCTCAATGTCATGACAAGCAGTCTTGTCATTCAAGGCTGCAAACTAGAAATCAAGACTGCTTGACGGAACACTGGCTCCAGCAACACTCTGCATTCAAGGATTTTTCATCTCCTCAGGAAATATACCGTATTTACTCGCGTAATGAACGCACTCGCATAATGAACCCACCCCCCACCATTGCTTCGAAAAAAGAGAACAAAACTTTTGTAATGTATCTGTTATTTTATTTCGGTATGATAGCCAGTGCCGTGGACGATTGAAACAGTGTTAAATCAAGCAATTATATCACAAAATAACAATGCAATAAAAGTCAAAACATAGTTTTACAACCATGCTAAACATTTGTGAGCAGTGCGAGAGTGGACGACGTCAATCAAAATTTAAAAGTCGTACCTTTTACGGCAAAGCGCCATTTGTTCAATGCAGGAGAAAACTTTATGCTAATAGCGCCACGTAAGCACAGTGGCACGAAAACAAAGTGCATGGCTTTTAAACTGGCGCGCGCGCGGCGTAGACACACGCCGTGTGCTCGCTATCTCGAAGGCCATGCAAAGCGCAACTGCCCCCTCACACTGATGGCGCGTTATGCACCCGCAACGTTTGTGCACCGCCATCCGACGCTGCGTTTTATTGCGATAGCAATTATATGGATACTCTCGGTTGGGTTTCACTGCCTACGTCCGCGTCACTCACTGTATATGTATCTATATTGTCACGTCGCTCCAGGGGTGTCGACAAGGTTTATTGACGTCTGAGCAACAGGGCCCTAACCAAGCGCGTCGGTTGGGCTTGTTTGCCAGAGCGGGGCCCACGCGCACTTCTTTCTTTTTTGTGGTGTGTGCCTTCGCCTTGGCATACGACCCACTACTAGAAGTAGGTGGCACTATTCCTCCTCAACAAAAAAAGAAAGAGCATCCTGCGGATGCTGTAAAGTTATTGCAAAAAAAAAAAAAAAACAAAACAAAGTAGCTTAAACAATGAAAAAGGGCACCAATAATCAAATATTAGACGCGATAAGTTCACCAATGATGAGGCAATTGTCGGAGCACAAATAAAAAAAAAAACACAGGAAAAGTGGTCTTTTAGGAACGCGCAAAATAAGGCTTCATGCGCACAACGTGAACTGTGTCAGAGGTCGGTTGTCTTCGTTGTACCCATCGTGACGACGTAGCGTCCGGAACCACTTCGTAGTTTACGTCACTCACGCGGCATAATACTTTATACGGACTGAAGTATCTGCTGAGCAACTTTTCGGAGAAGCCACGATGACGAACAGGGGTCCAAACCCAAACTTGGTCTCCCGGACTCTAAGATACGTCATTGTGACGCATATTGTAACGTCGTGCATCGACCTGTTGCTGCTGACCAATGTGTAGCCGGGTGAGCTGGCGAGTTTCCTCGGCACGCTCTGCAAATTTTTCTGCGTCAGGTGTTAATTGATCGGCGTCTTCACAAGGAAGCATCGCATCCAGCATCGTCTGAACTTCGCGGCCGTAGAGAAGCCGAAACGGTGTAAATCGGGTTGTTTCTTGAACGGCGGTGTTATAAGCGAACGTCACATAAGGCAAAATGGAATCCCATGTTTTGTGTTGGACGTCGATGTACATGGAGATCATGTTTGTGACTGTCTTATTTAGTCGCTCGGTTAAGCCGTTGCTCTGCCGATGGTGAGCAGTCGTCGTTCGATGCCTAGTGTTACTTAATCGAAAAACTTCATCAATAAGCTGTGCAGTGAACGCTGTTCCTCTGTCGGTTATCACTGTAGATGGAGCACCGTGGCACAGAACAATGTGGCACATGAAGAACTGTGCCACCTCAAAAGCCGTGGCTCGTGGTATCGCCTGTGTCTCAGCATAGCGGGTCAAATAGTCAGTTGCAACAATGACCCATTTGTTGCCGTCGGACGATAAAGGAAATGGGCCGAGAATGTCCATGCCGACTTGGTCAAATGGCTTGTGGGGTGGATCAATTGGCTGAAGTAATCCAGCCGGCTTGCTTGGTGGCGACTTTCGACGCTGGCATTCACGACAGCTTTTGACGTACTGCTTCACGCTTGCCGAAAGTCCGGGCCAGTAGTACGCCTCACTTTCTCTGCGTTCGCGAGTAACCTAGATGACCAGATGTGGGCTCGTCATGACACGCGGAAGAGGATTTCGTCCCGCATGTCCTTCGGAATGACGAGGAGGTAAGCGCGGCTCGTAGAACGGGCGTTTTTTTTTTGTACAAGACATTATCTCGGAGGCAGAAAGACGTCACGACGCGAGATAGATGGCGAGGTATAACGGCGCTATGACCCTCCAGATAGTCGATGAGCGGTCGAATCTCTTCATCCTCTCGCTGGCGTCTGCTCAAGTCAGATGAGCTAAGGGCGCCGAGGGAACCGTCATCGTCCTCTTCTTCTTGATTGACTAAAGGTATGGGTGCACGTGACAGCGTATCAGAGTCTTCATGCTTCCGTCCAGACTTATATACGATGGTCACATCAAATTCCTGTTGACGCAAGCTGCATCGGGCCAGTTGTCCAGAGGGATCACGTATGTTTACCAACCAGCAGAGGGCATGGTGGTCCGTGACCACTTTAAATGGATGACCATAGAGGTATGGGCGGAACTTGGTGATCGCCCACACTACTGCGAGACACTCTTTCTCTGTGGTCGTGTAATTCACCTCGGTACGGGACAGTGAGCGGCTGGCATAGGCTATGACTCGTTCTTTGCCGTGTTGATGCCTGACGAGCACTGCACCGAGGCAGATGTTACTGGTGTTATCCGCTGTCGTAGCTCGGCAAAAGCAGCCTGTTGCTCGGTAGCCCATACAAACAGTGTGTCGCCGCGTGTAAGGCGAGTCAAGGGTTCCGCTATCTTCGAAAACCCTCTAATAAATCGTCGATAGTAGGCGCACAAGCCCAGAAAGCGCCAAACAGCTTTTTTGTCTGTAGGATGCGGAAACGCGGCTACAGCGGCAAGTTTGTCGGGGTCAGGTCGGACTCTTTTCGCGTTGACTACATGGCCAAGAAATTTGAGCTCTTCATAACCAAAGTGACACTTCTGCAGTTTGAGTGTAAGATCTGCTGATTGAATAGCCTGTAGCATACTCCTTAGGTGGTCAAGATGTTGCTGGAAGGTTTCAGAAAAAACGACACATCATAAGGTATACTGAGAGAAGTTGCCACTTCAGACCAGTAAGCACAGTGTCCATCATACGCTGGAAGGTTGCGGGCGCTGAGCACAAACCAAAAGGAAGGACTCGAAATTCATACAGGCCATCAGGAGTCACAAAGGCCGTTTTCTCGCGGTCTCGCTCGTCAACCTCAATCTGCCAGTACCCGCTTTTTAAATCCAAAGAGGAAAAATAGTGGGCGCGGCGTAATCTGTCTAACGAGTCGTCGATGCGTGGCAGCGGGTACAATATACAGTTAAACCTGGATATAACGAAATTGATAAATTCCCGGAAAAGTTTGTTATAAAGAGGATTTTGTTATATGCAGGTTTGGTACGAAAATTCAAGAAATAAACGCGCAAATTAAGCAAAAGGGGGACTGAAGGCAGACCTAACTTAAAACACTTACTTTACAGTAAAAAATTCGTTATTATTGCGATAGCAATTATATGGACACTCTTGGCGGGTTTTTGCTGTTGCCGCCATATTCCGTAACAAGTCCAAGTTGATAACACGCCCCCGTGCATTGTAACTTTCACGAGTGGATAGAAGCGCGTGAGCGCTGCTGAAGTAGAGATCAAATGAGTCAGGCCATCCCAATCGACAGGAAAGTGCATCTCCCGCGTGTTAGAACTGCCGTCGAATGCTCAAAAAGAAAGGAAACCACCTGGTTTACAACGCGGGGGGGAGGGGAGGGAATCGCTTGAATAGCAATAATGAGATTGGATTTTAAGGGCGGTCGCGATCGCTGGCGCGCTTGCTATATCGGCGAGTATCAGTGCGGCTTCAACGCGAAGGGACTGAGTGAAGAAAGCGACGCCCGGCAAATGCAATCGCTGCAGTCAAAGTCGAAGGCACGCTATTCTCCTCACCGCGAGATAAGCTCGGCCGCAAAAGCATCTAACCCCCCTCCCCACCCCCATGCATTGATGGGGCAAAGTACGCCATAGGAGATAAGCGCGCGTCGGCGCATCGTGACGAGCTGGGCGCCGAGCGCGGGCGGCCTTTTTTTTCTTTCTTGAGTTTTCATACATATAGGTTCATATACATATAGGGTGAATGAAGGCGGCGGCAAAAAAAGAACAGCCGAGACTGTCTATATACATAATTACTATCGCAATAAAAAAAAGCAAAGCTGAACGTCGTCGGGGGGACACACCATGCGCTTGCAGTGAAACTGTGCATGCTCGCACGGCATCGAAAAAGAAATGCGAATGACACAAAGACAGG